AGCTCCATCCATGTTGCTGCAAATGGCATGAGTTTATCTTTTTGATTGCCGAATAGTATTCCATTGTGCAAATATAACACAGCTTCTTGATCAGGTCATCTATTTCGGGGCATTTAGATCGTTTCCATATCTTAACTATTGTAAATAGTGCTGTAATAAACATAGGTAGAATTCATTTTAATCTCTCATTGGATACCTTCTCTATCAATGTGTGTGTTTATATTCTCATATTTTACATATTTTTGCTCTAGGTTTTGTGAGAGTGCCTCTAATTTATCTTACAATCTTCTATTTAATTTCATTTTCAGGGGTTTCTTCTCACTTTAAAATTCTTCCCCCATTCAATAGATATGCTATTTCACTTCTTGCTGATGATCTTTTAGTTTTCCAGGTTTGTTTTTTCTTATTCTTCTTAGATTCCTTGAATTCTTTCAGTTTCCTCCCTACATGTTTTTTCTCCTTTTCTCTCTATCATATTGTAGCCCTTTTTTAAGTACTGGATGGTTCTCATTTGTCAGGCTATTCTTAAGAATAGGGTAGGAGAAAGGCTGACTAGGAACTCCAGCAATGAGTAGGTCTGGCTGACTGGAAGTCTCAATTCAGAATGAGCAGTTTAGTTAATGATCTTTGTGCTGATGCCTCACAACAGCCAAAGCTGGAGATGGGTTTGAGCTGCTGTACTGCTCCAGCAGCCCAAGCCTTCTCATAGAGATCCTTTCATGGTTTTCCTGGCGTATTTCAGTGACACTGGGGTTGATACTGAGGTTATGTCTCAGCACTACCATCATGAAGGTCCACCATGATGGCTTGAGTTCAATCCCTGGCCAGGGAGCTGACCCACATGGTGGGTCTTGACCATTGCTGACCATTGCTCTCCTGTCTTGACCATTGCTCCCCTCAGCAGTGCGTTTTAGTAGATCTGCCTGTTCTGCTCCCCACTGTTTTTGTTAAAATCTCTCACCGATCCCTCCCCCTGCCATCTCTGATCTACATCCCAGTTCTTCTACACAAAAATAAATACAACCTTAAAAAAAAAAGAAGATACTTCAGAGTCTTTAGAAAAGCCATCTGGATCACTCACTGGTTGGTTTATTATGTGTGATTGAACACCTAGGAGCTGGGGGTTCTTGGCACCAGAGTTGAGGAGCGGTGTAGAGGTCTTCACTGTCTTCTCTGCACTCCGATAATTTCTGAGTCCACAACTTCTGTGAGTTTCTAGCAGAAGGAGACTCCCTTGTCTTCTGTATGACCCTCCAGCTACATCCTTCTTCTACTCTTTGTTCCACTATATACTTTGTTTTCCAGAAAATGAAGGAGGAAACATAAATAAATAAATGGGTCCACACAGTAGCAGACCCATTTTACTTTTCGAAAACTATTCTGACTAAGATCACACAGAGAGAGGGGAAGAGCTAAGTGCGTACTTCTGACTATGTCAAACTACTTCTTTTTGTTCAAACATAACTCAGTTTATATAACCTGGAGAAAAAATAACACTATGAGTTATAAATATGCTGTCATTGTGCATCAAAATGAGGCCAAACTTGCTGAAACTGTAACATATACCATGTCATAAGATACATATATAGAATAACAAAGTTGTCAAAATCATGAAGTAGTTTTATATTATATGGTTCAGGCTGGAGTAGAACTTCAGGAAACAACAGTGGTAGGAAGGGTTGGGCTATCATTTCAGTAGCAGCGGCAAGGGCTTGGCACACTGAGTGTTTTTCGTTCCATCAGATCCACTTTAGAAATAGTAATTGGGGAGTAATTGCCCCAAAGATGTGGTGTAGACTATGGAGTCATGGTGTGAATAGAAGAGACTTGCTAGAAGGCACCTCATCTACTTGGAAGCCACTCTCATCTACATTCAATGCTTATTAAGTGGCTACTACATACAGACACTGCAAGAGGCTCCAGAGATACCTTCCCCTTCAACCAAATAATAGCTTCAAAAGATGAGAAGCTCTACTTTTAGAGACCTCTGGAATTAAAATCCCATTTATAATGGTTTAAGATTTAAAGTGCTACACAGAACTGACCAGGTCCATATTTTTTTAAGATTTATTTTTTATTTATGCACACAAGAACTGGGGTACTGGGGTACAGGCCAGAGATGTGGGGGATGAGAGGATTCACCAGAGCAGAACAGGCAGAACTACTGAAATACACTGCTGAGGGGAACAGAGGACAGATCAGGAGAGGTCTGCCATGCCGTGTGGGTCAGCTCCCTGGCTGGGGATTGAACTCATACTGCAGTAGCTGTGGACAGCTCCACAGTGCTGCGCTTCAACCCATTAGCCACCAAGGAGGGCCAGAACTAATCAAGTTTAAACACAAATACAGCTTGAGGACTTTTGAGTAGCTAGCTGGTCCCTTAGCAAATCTTTATTGAACTTCTACTTAACTGGTTGCTGAGGCTGGGCTCTAGGGACACAATGGTGAAAATAGCAACTTAATTCTTATGACATTTTCTATTTATCCACAAAAGACAATGTTGAAGCTTCTACATTTCTCTTTCTCAGAGGCAGATACTATAATAGCTTAATTTTGCAATGCAGACACTGGCTCTTGGGTAAAAGCCACAGAAAATTGGGCTAAGCAGATGATGAACATATCATATGCTGGTAATAGTTTGCTGTGATACTAATTTAGATGTATGGTATACTAGAGAAGAATATAATTTAACATAAAATCTTTTTGTTCATAGTATTTTTCTCTAGTCTTCACCTTTCCTGTGTCTGTTTTTGTCTCAATGTAACACTGTAGGGAAATTCACTGTGAAATCCAAACACGTGAGCATGTACCCTGTGTCCTCAAAGGTTGGCACACAAGTCTATGTACTTGGAAAGAGAACAAAGGTTTCTAGTCTGAGAAACAAAGAAAATGGAGATTAAAAGGTCTGGTTTCCTCTTCTTTGCATCAGCACATACCAGCTGTCAGATACTGATGAATAATCTATTCCTACTGTTCCTGAAAGGTAGATAATAATTACCAAATCATTTCCAAAAGGAAGTATATTATTCCACAAATAAAATGGTAATGCAATAAGCATGAGAAACTTTTCAAAAGTACAGCATTTGCATTTGTGTTTTTTAAAAAGATTTATTTATTTATGCATACAGAGGTCCAGGCCAGAGGTCCAGGGGCAGTGAGAGGATTCACCAGGGACAGAGTGGGGAGCAGGACAGGCCGACTGACGAAGTACACTGCTGAGAGGAGCAGAGGGCAGGTCAGGAAAGGTCTGCCGGGCCATGTGGGTCACCTCCAGGGTGGGAATCGAACTTACATTGAAGCGTCTCACTTGCACTTTTAACCCACTGCACCACCAGGGAGGGCCGCATGTGTGATTTTCGCTCCTTCTAAAGCCATTCTCTCCAACAGGCCCATACCCTGATAAATTCAGAAAGGAAGGAAGAAGACAGTCTAAAAGACAGAATGGGTGTGGCTGCTGTGAGACAGAAAGCCTAATTACTGGAGTGTATGCAGATAAGGCATTAGGGTCAAGGGCTAAAAGGAAGTCCCCAGATTGCAGAGTACCTACGGGGGACTTGAGGACCTTCCAAAGGAGCTCTGCCTTAAGTTCTTTTGGTTAGCCCTGACTTCCAACAGAGCAAGTTGCAAGACCAAGTGCTAGTATCAAGTAGTAGAAAGCTCCCTTCCTTTGGAAAAGCCAGTATGCTCATCTTTCTGTGCCCTGTTCTTGCAAAAAAGGCCAATTTTCTCTTGAAGCTTCTGTGGTTAGAGACTTGCCAAGCCTGTGTGGCAGAGTGCAGAGTATAATCCTTAGAATAATTTAATGAGTTCATGTCCACCCATCCCTAGAGGAGTTAAATTCCCTTCCCTGAGCATCAGATTCCTCACCTGTAAAATGGGCTAGGAAGACTGAATCAGAAAACAAGTGATTCTAAATTTCTGAAAGACTTTTCCTCTATGTCCCTATTTACCTCTTCCTTCCAATAAAAAAGTTTAAACAGTAAAGTCATAATCTACCCTACCTGCTTTCCATACACCTGAGGTTAATTCACACTTCCTGAATAACATTAATTTTAGAAACACACAATCTGTACAATTTCAGAATGATACCTACAGGATTTCTGCTGCCAGTTGGTGCAGGCCGGAGCCATCATCCTGGAGCCTTGTTCCAGTTGATGCTTTCTTGGGAAACAACACTTCCTTTCCAACACGTTTACTTTATGTTCAGAACAATGACCGATGATGGGTAGGTCTTCATTTGACTCACTACCTGAACAATCAGCTTTTCCTCTTACTTCTCCAAAGCAGAATTAACTTGCTTAATTTTGTATCAAGTCACCAGACTCATCATTGCATTAAAAAATTAAGATATCTGGGCCGTCCCTGGTGGCACAACAAGTTAGGACTCAGCACTGCAAGCCAGCCACAGCTGCTTCAATGCGAGTTCGATCCCCCACCCGGGAGGTGATCCACACGGTGCGCGGCAGACCTCTCCTGACCTGTCCTCTGCTTCCCTCAGCAGTGTACTTCATCAGTCGGCCTGTTCTGCTCCCCACTGTCTCTGGTGAATCCTCTCACTACCCCTGCACCTCTGGCCTGTACCCCAGTTCCATACATATAAATAAATCAATCTTTAAAAAGAAAAATTAAGATATCCTCCAACTCTGGCCTGACAGTTCTTCTAGAACATGTGATACCACCATTTCTAGGCAGCCTAGTATCTACTAGCCATAATTAACTTAATCAAAAATGAAGCCTGTTCAATGCTATCCCTACAGGATTCAAATTCTTATGCATTTATAGCTTAATAAATTGGAGTCATTTTAGCACGTTTGTTCTAGCCCTTTTATAGTTGAGACTCTCAGAAAGCTGTTTCAGATTGGAAATGCATTGAAATGCATTTCATACTCACCAGTCATATCTTGTTATCTTTCATATTCACTTGAGACCAAGCCCTAGTTCTTGAGATTTTATTATCATTATTAATAATAAACCAATCGAAATACCATATCCTAACAGTGGGAAATATTCAGGATAAATAACTTCTTCCTTGTGAATTAAATCACATGCACACACATCCTCCCCCTGTGCTACTTCCTCCCCACATTGTGTCCGTTCACACAAAACCGTCCACACAGCAGTGCGAGCAGCTGATACCAGCGCCTGGGCAAAGGACCCCGCTGTGTGATGTCAGGCTGAGTCCCAGCCTAGATGACCAGCTTCTCCACACTGAGAGTACTAGTGGTCTCATCCTCTTCATTTGACCCAAAATATCCTGGGAGGTCCAGCATCCTCTGCTCTGCCTCAGTGAGACCAAAGGAGGTGTTGTCATAAAAGGCAAACTCAGGTTGGGTTGGGAAGCTCTGGCACTTGTCTTTTCTACACTGAGAGGGGCTCAGAGGACTGACCCTCTGGTAGCTGTCTTTGAGGGTCGTCGGGGAAGGCTGCTTCCTTGAGACACTTCTGTGACTGGGAGACGGTCCTCGTCGAGCTCTGTGAGGCTCCAGTTTCTCACCTCCTGGCACAAATCCCACCTGGCGATGCCCTACATCCAGTTTCCTTGTGGGCTGCCCCAAGGTGCAGGATTTCGGGAGAGGACTCAGTGGCCGACTAGATCCACCTGTCCCTTGGAAGTGGTCCAGTTTCTCAGGAAACAGGGTGGCACCTCTGCTCTGAGGCCTAAATCTGTCTTCTGCCTGGTCCCAGGTCCGTGCCCTGGAACTGCAGATGGAGACCTGCCTCGGCGTCAGAGTGGACATGCTCCTCTCCCTGAAGGGCCGGGCCTGCTTGGCTTCATGAAAACTAGCCGTCCTCCGGAAATGGGAATTCCTGGCATGGCTCTGCTCTGACAGCCCTCCTCTGTTGCTCATGTGCCTCATCTGTGACTTTCGGATAAGGGTCTGGCTGGGGCTTATAGCACAACTGGCCGGAGAGACGGTAAAGTCCAGCCGGGAAGAAGACCGTTCTCCGGCACTGCCAGCGGGCTGGTCTGGAAACGGGGATTTGATCCGGAACTTGTTTGCTGCAGCTTCTTCTTGGCTGTCCAAGTCGAGAGGGGGGCCGGGCGCTGCATCGATGGCAGTGTCTGTGAGGGGACTCTGAGACACATGATACACTTTGGTGGTTTCTGTCAGGCCTTTCTTCTTCATTTCCTTCAACTGCTGCTGGGCGAGGCGGTAGCTAAACAGAGGGGGGATGATCTTCTGGGCGTTGGACTGGAAGCTCTCACTGCCAGAGGCATCGTCCTCGGGAGTCACTGGCACACTCTGCCTGTAGGTCAGAGGGATGCCCAGGTCCCCCGGCCCTCCAGGGGGCCCATCACCCGCATCTGAGAAGCTCCCGCGCTGCTCACTCAGCTCACAGATGTTCTCCTCATCCGAGTTCTTCCGGAAGCTGGGGGAGTGGATGGAGTTGTGCCGAGCAGGGGTGCTGCACTTGGGGGCCCGGCCAAACCTCCGCCACAGCGTGATGAGGACGGTGGCCACAATGATGAACAAGCACAGGGAGATCCCCGTGATGGTCACAATGTTGTTGGACTTCACTGGACCCTGGGGCTGAAGAGGAGCTGGACTGGATGGCTGGAAAGCTACAAGAAAGGAAGAACAAATACATTCTCCAGTATTGTTTTCTCTGCATGATGTGAAGACGTCTCAGTGGCTTATTCTAGCAGGTAAAGAAAGAGTAAAATTACCAAGGACTAAGGTTGCTGGTCTTACCTGTGCACTTCTGCTGGTAGCTTACGCCAAAACTGAAAGCCAGAAACAAGTGCCATGACGAGATCAGCCTCCAGCAAGGTGGTGCCAGGACTTGCTGTCTCCTACTAGAATATGTCTCAGGTTTTCAACATAGAAGCAGCATGCACCAAGTTTCAAGGTAAAGTCATTTTTTGCTTAGGACAAGTGTAAATATGGGATATCTCAAATGTACCTTTGAGATGCATGTTGGGAAATTCTTAGCAAGTATAAAATTTGAAATGCAAAATGTATACCTAGTGAGCACCTCTCAGGAGAAATTAATAGGTGAAAATAAAACTTTGGGCAATATAATAAACTCACGCTTCTCAACTAATATCCGGAAACTGTCCTTCCTAAGTGTTGACTTCTGCTTCTTTACTCTTCTCACTATTTTCAGTTATCCACTCCTTCCAGATGGCATTGATTGGCTCCTTCCCTGCTTTCGCAAGCTGGCTTCCTCCACAGTCATCAGAATGTGTCACTGCCTGTACTGACACCAAAATTCCTGGGGACCTGAGAGCCACCATCTCGCTTTGTCTTTGGTCACTTTTCAATATCCCGGCCCTGCCAATCATGCGTCCTAATCTTTTTCCCCATAGTTCTATTACCTCCAGCTCTGTGTTTCATCTGGACGCATCTTTCCACTTAATGCCCCCTCCCCTTTTGATGCTAGCCTATAGGACACCTGACAACCAAACTCTTTCAACATCCAGAACTGTCTTCCTTGAAGGCTGGATGTCCCACGGGGCACACTTGCCCCCACCATCCTCTTGGAGGGAAACTGTGGCATATCCTTTATTTCTAAGCAAACAGAGTCAGTTTCATTTCTGATTGCCATTTCACCTCATTCTTTCATCTCTCGTGAAATTTCTCTTTTGATGTCCATGCCATCCACTTGGATCACCCAGCTTCTCTCAACCTCATGGCAGTCACCAGTCACTAGCACCTAGGATCCAATCTTCTTCAACACCCAACAGCCAGGACCGTCTGGAGGAACCCAGTGTCCAGGCAACAGTTCACAGCTTCCTATTGTTTGTAAATGTTCCACTTCTTAAATTTAAACATCACAGCTCACTTTCTGTATTCTTCTCTCTCACCCATCCTAAGTAGTATACATGTTACTCTACTTCAGCGCAACTTCTGATTCTGCAAGCCCTCCATTTCTCCCAATCTGCAGGCCACCTTCTGGCCTTATTTCTCTTCCTAACCAAATTATACCCATGAACCATCAAATAAGTCATTTTCTCTCCAATAACCTCAACTTTCTTGACATCAAATTCTGACCTTTTCCCCTTTCACTGCTCATAATAAAAGTTTAACCCTAGATAACCCCTGGCATTGAATTCTCAGCTGCTGTGCCTGGATCCTGAGAATTGGTGGAGAAAGTAACACATTCTGCATGTCAGTGCCTCCGCAGAAAAACTGCACTCACTCTTAGTCACTCACACATGCTCCCAAGAGTCCCTAAGTAGCTTTCTCTTCCGCCCCCTACAATACTGCTTCAAAGTTTTACCACTTTCCTTAAACCCTTCCCCTAATTCCCTTTCTCCAGTCTGCTAGGTCCCAAAAAATAGAAACCATGAGACAAGAACAACTCAGCTTTTTCTGCCATCCTCTCCTCCTGCATAACTTACCAACAGTCACACCTGTCGTTGCTGCTTTTTCTATGAACTTAGTGCAAGAAGTTTCCTCCATAAAGGGAATTCTACTAATTGCTCTCTTACCACCTTTCCCCAGAGGGATTGCCTCTTCATACAACTATCTCCAACTTCTCCTTTATGTAGGTCCTTTCCCTCAGGGCAGAATGTGCTCAAGATCTTTCCACTTAAAAGAACTTTCCAGAAACTTCTCATTGCTACCACCTCCACACTTTGCTCCCTGAGTTCCCAGTCAAGCTTGCAGAAAGAAGAGTTCACCTTTGCTGACTCACTGTTACCTACCCAGCCTCATTTTACCACCTGTTCCTGACACACTTTCCTCTAGCCACATTAAACTATTTCAGTTCTCTGGACCTTTTAATGTGTCATCTTCTTCTTCGACACTTTCAGCTACTGCTCCTTATGCAAAATTTCCCTTTCTCACCTGGGTGACACCCCCTCAACTCTCTAACTTCAGCTCAAATATAACCTCCTCCAAGAACAGAAGTGTTTCCAGAATTAGTTATCATCTCAGCAAGCTTCATAGCAAGCTGTGGGCTTATCACTGCAGCCCCATATTGTGCTATATAGTTCTCCAGTTCATGTGTCTAATGAGCTACTGTATCATAAGCTTCTTCAAAAGAGGGAATTGTCTATCTACTCCCAACTTCATCACAGTAACATTTGCAACTCAACAAGTATTAGTTTAACTAATTGACTGTTCCATTATTAAGAAGGCAGTACGAAAATGATCACTCTTCTATCAGATTGAATGTGGATACCCAGCAAATGGATCCCCCTACTCTCACCGAACGAGATGAAGCAAGTTAACATATTATACTCACACCATGGCATTAAAGTATCGTTTAAAGCCCAAAACCTCTGGATTTCCAGTGAAGAGAAAACTGTTGAATGATGAAAGACTTATGTCCTCACCTCCTGCATCAGTGGGGGATAAGGATCACCACACATCCAGGGCCTCTTCATGCAGCTGTTACCTTTGACTCTCTGGCTGGCTCCCTTCAGACATGGCTGGGGAAGAGCCACAAAGCTGCTGGCCTTACCCCTCTCTATATAATCTAGTCTCCCCTACTTCATCTGAAGTGAAGATTTCCTTTCCCCCAAGTAGCCTGAAAATAGACCCCCTGTATTTGCAAAGAGTAGAAAACAGGAATAGAAAAAATAATATACCTGGAAGAAATGGTCCTTCTATTTACATAAACATTTACCGAGGACAACTTATAGAAGTAGGATGTTTGTAACACTTCCCCTTTTTGCTAACTTATTGTGTATAAATTCTAGTTCCTAGCAGTACTAAAGACTTAAGATACCAGAACATGAATTAGTATCACATATCCTCAAAACTGATTACTAACTCCAAGTTGTTGATGCTTCTAGAACATTGGATTGGTCTGAATGTAAAGCAACATATTCAAGATAGGAGCTCAGTGTGGAGTTAGATCCAGTCCTCTGCTTTCTAGGTTTATGATCTTGCCACAGAGTCCTCATCTGAATGTGGAAATAATGATATACCTACTTCATATTTGCGAGGCATTTAGGAAAATGCCTGGCTGGCAGCAAATGCTCAACATCTGAGTCCAGCATAATAATCCTACTTTGAGGAGTTACTGTGAGATTTAAATGAAAAGAATTTTTTTAGAGTGCTGGTACATGGCAGATAGTGAGTTAAGTGGTTAATATCACTTCCAAAGCCAGGAGCAACTGTTTTTAAATTCACTGGAATATTACAAACTCCAGATAGAATATCTTTTTTTTTAAGACAGATTTTTTTATTTATGCATCCAAGAACTAGAGTGTTGGCCAGAGGTGCGTGGGGGTGAGTGGGGGGATAAGAGGATTTACCATAGACAGAGTAGGAAGCAGAACAGACAGACTGACTGAAATATACTGCTGAGGGGAGCAGCAGGAAAGACAGAAGAGGTCTGCTGTGCCATGTGGGTCAACTCGCAGGCTGGGGATTGAGCTCAGGCTGAAATGGCTGGTGATAGTCTGACAGTCCTGAGGCTCAACCCCTTCTGCCAGCAGGGAGGCCCTAGGAAGAATATCTTAATACAATATGAAAGGGGCAGATATACTTGAAGGCAGTTATATACTAGGAAGGATTGGTGGCGGGTGATGAGGACTTATAAAGAAAAGAGTACAGCAGAGAGAGGAGAGCCTTAAAGAACAGTATGAGATCAAATGGACAGAGAGTAGACTCAGGGTGGGGCCTGGGGGTTTACGTCAAAGAGGAGCAGGCTAAGGATTAGAAGATGAAGTGGGCCTGAGATTGTAATAGGAAAGACATGAAAGCGAGACTGTCCTTGGGAGGCGGAAATAGAGAGCAAGACCTATGGCACTGGCTGGAAAAATGAAATGGCAAGACAAATTTTTTAAGGCTACCTTTGGACACTGGCCAACGTGTTGTCAGATGCCTGTGGTTTGGGCTAACACCCACTCTGCGAGCCAAATCAGAAAACTACTTAACTCCTCCAGATCCCAAGAGACCAGGAAGGAAGGACAGTTTCCCAGCCTGGGATTAGTGCAAAGAAGGCAGGACTTGATCAAAGGATGGATAATTACTGTGGGTCAGCACTAAGCAAAGGATGGATAACTACTTGGGGGCGGGCGAGGTTGATATCAGAAGGCGAGATGGCATATGGGGACAGCAAGGATTTTTTTTTTATTGTGACCTGTCGTATGTAAATGGGACTGAGCTCCATACACTGACGCAAAGCTGACTGAGCCATGTGAGCATCACACCTACACACCACCCACATCAAACACCTACAATTGTAGGTGCCTTCAAAATGCTCAAAGGCTAATGGGAGAGGCTAGTTCCAAGGTGATATAAAAAAAAAATTTACCTACCTTCTTCTCCTGGGTAGGGGGACGGTAAAGAGTAAAGTAGGGCTCTTTAGGGATAAGACAAGATATCTTGCCTTTGACAAATAAAGCTAGGATTATGAGATGAAAACACATTTTCTTGATGATTTTCCACAGTGGTGGTGGGGTGAAGTAAGGGAGGGAGAAATGACAAAATGAAACAAAATCTTAGGAAGATGTGATCATCCCACAGAACTCCCCATTTCTGTGGTTTTAAGAATTATGTCACATATCTGAATCCTTAATTTAGATAGATTTCCTTGCCATTTCCCCGTGTTCCACAGTGTAAATCCCCCATCATCACACCCACTTGCCACTACCAGTAATAGACATACAGTGTTTGCACAGCCAGCAGCAATAACAGCACGTTAAGGAGTACGTACGCTCCCAAACTCACATGGAGAGCTCCAGGCTTAGTATTTCCTCTGGAAAGGGGCTTCTGGGAGAGACTCCTGGCGGAAGCACAAATACCTACCAGCACACTCCTCCAGGGAACACTGCGAGGTCTCCGAGGCTATTCCAGGGCAGCCAGGTCTGGAGGGGAAGGAAGTCAGGCATACGCGGTGACGTTCTCGGATGCCGTCCCCACACGTGGTGCTGCACTGGCTCCATGGCTGCCACAGTCCCCACGTTTCTGCAAGGACATTTGCCATGTTTTTAATGTTAGTCATTTGAGAATTAGAATTTAACTGCAACAACACTCAAAACTAAGGTCTTGAAAAGTCAGGACATAAAAACATTCCCAAATATGTAGAAAACTGGAGTGCTATTCCCACCCTTTAAAAAATAGATAAGCGGCTCTCCCTGGTGGCGCAGCGGGTTAAAGCACAGCACTGAGAAGCTAAAGCCACTTCAGTATGAGTTCGATTCCCTCCTGCTCTGGAGGAGACCACATGGCGCGGCAGACCTCTCCTGACCCGCCCACTGCTCCCCTCAGCAGTGTTCTTCGTCCATCTGCCTGTTCTGCTCCCCACTCTGTGTCTGGTGAATCCTCTCGCTGCCCCTGAGCCTCTGGCCTGTACCCCAGTTCTGTATGCATAAATAAATAAATCTTTAAAAAAAGAATAGATAAGCTATGCAATCTACAGAATGTTACCTTTCTAGAACCCTTTAGAGAACTAAGGTGAGTAAATGACCCAAAATAAAAGACAGGATCCTCCAAAGATGAGATATAAATGTTGTTTTCCTGGGGCAGAAGCCAGGCATCATACAAGCTGGTAGGAAAAAGCCTCTACAAGTTTAACGAATTGCTAGAGGTCCGGTGTGGCTAGCATGAAAATATAGAACCCCTGGGAACCACGTACCCAAGGGGAATTTGTACCCACACGTAAACTTTTGTCCACAGGTCTCACATGAAAATTAAACAACATTCTACTGAATTAATGGGTGACTGGAGAAATCAGAATGTACCTGGAGACAAATACTACCTACCAGAATCTTTGGGTTGCAGCAAAAGTAATAGTAAGAGGAAAGTTTATAGCAATACAAGCTAATCTCAAGAAACAAGAATAATCCCAAGCAATCAAACTTTCACCCAAAGAAGCTAGGAAAAGAAGAACAAATGAAGCCCAAAGTCTGAAAAGGAAGGAAATAATAAAAAACGGAGTGGAAATAAACAAAACATCAATGAAACAAAGACTTGGTTTTAAAAAAAAATCTATAAAATTGACAAACCGTTGCCCAGCCTCATTCAGAAAAGGATCACATAAAACCAGAAACAAAAGAGGATACATTACAGAGGATACCACAGAAATATGAGCATCTGTGTGCCAGCAAATTTTAAAGAGTATGGGTAAATTCCTTGAATCATAGAATCTCCCAGGACTGAGTAATGAAGAAATAGGAAATCTAAACAAACCTATCACAAATAAATAAATTAAATTAGTAATTAAAATCCTCCCAATTGTGAAAACCTCCCAGCACAATACAAAATAAGACAACCACAAAAAAATCACAGTTCAGTTTTTCTGATGAACACAGATGTAAAAACCCTCAATCAACAAAATATTATCAAACAAATTCAACAATAAATTTAAAAGAGCATATACCACAACTAAGTGGTATTTATTCTAGGATACAAGGACTGTTCAACATATGCAAATCCATTGATATGCATCAAATCAACAAAATGAAAGATTAAAAACACTATGATCATCTCAAGAAGTATTTATAAAATCCAACATCCATTGATGACCAAAAACTCTAAAAAATGGGTCTAGAAAGAGCATATATAAAGTTAATAGAGGACACATATAAAGTTAATAGAGGCCACATAGAGTAAGCCCATAGCCAACATGATACCCATGAGTAAAAACTGATTATTTGTCCTATATTATCAAGATATAGATGCTCATCCTCTCCACTCTTATTTAAAATGGTATTAGAAGTCATGGTCAAAGTAACAACAAAAATTTTTAAAAGAAGCAGAAGATCTATATAGGCATTTCACCAAAGATGACATACAGATATCAACAGACTATAAGAAAACATGTTCTATATTTCTTATCACTAGGGAAATGTAAACCAAAACCACAATGAGGGCCTCCCTGGTGAGGCAAGAGGTTAAGTCTCAACAATATGAAGCTATACACGACCAGTGCAGCATGAGTTCCACCCCTAACCAGAGAGCTAGCCACAGGGTGCAGCAGACCTCTCCTGACTGGCCCGCTGCTCCCTTCAGCAATGTATTTCAGAAGATCTACCTGTTCTACTCCCCACTGTCTCTGGTGAATCCTCTCACTCCTCTCATGTCTGGCCTACACCCCGTTTTTTGATGCATAAATAAATAAAATAAAATCTTTTAAAAAACTGAAGTTGTATCTTACATCAGTAAAAATAGCTATTACCTAAAAGTCAAGAAATACTAAATGTTGGTGAGAATGTGGAAAAAGGACTGTAGGTATTGTGGGACTATAAACTGGAGCAGCCACTATGGAAAACAATATGCAGGTTCCTCACAAAATTAAAAAATAGTGGACCTTGGCCCTCCCTGGTGGCGCAGCGGGTTAAAGCGCAGCACTAAGAAGCTAAAGCCACTTCCGCATGGGTTCGATCTCCGCCTGCCCTGGAGGTGACCACATGGCACGGCAGACCTCTCCTGACCCGCCCGCTGCTCCCCTCAGCAATGTTCTTCGTCCATCTGCCTGTTCTGCTCCCCACTCTGTCTCTGGTGAACCCTCTCACCCTCCGCATCTCTGGCCTGTACCCCAGTTCTGTATGAATAAATAAATAAATCTTAAAAAAAAAAATAGTGGACCTCTCTGGGGACTTAGTGGTTAAGTTTCAGTGCTAACACCTCTGTGGCCAGAATTCAATCCCCTCCCAGGAAGCTAACCCACATGGCATAGCAGACCTCTCTGATTGCTCACTTTAGCAGTGTATGTCAGTAGATCCACTTGTTCTGCTCCCCACTCTGTCTCTGGTGAACTCTCTAATCACCCACACCTCTGGGTACACACCAACTCTTCTATACATAAATAAATAAATATTTAAAAAATTAAAGATAGAATTGCCATATGATCCAGTAATCCCACTTTGAGGCATTTACCCAAAGAGTATGGAGAGATACATGCACCCTAATGTTCACTTAAGCACTATTCACAGTAGCTAAGATACAGAAACACCCCAGTGCACAGTGACAGATAAATGGATAAAAAAGAGATAGACAGATAGATATAATGGAATACCATTAAAAAAAGATGAAATCTTGCAATTTGTGACAATCCCATGATGGGATTATGCTAATTAAATCAGAGAAGAAAGATAAATACAATATGATTTCACTCCTTTGTATAAAAAAAAGAAATAAAGCAAATGATCAAAACAAAAACAAACCCTTAGGCTCTAAAAACAGTATGTTTTCATACTCCAGCAGCAGGGATGAGGGGTGAGGGTGGGGGGGGGCAAATTGTTTGGTGGTGGAAAGTGACTGGATATTTGGTGGTGGGGGTGGTAAGACTTACATACTGAGGTAAGAAGATGTACTCCGTATATCTAGACAGTGTTGTACACTAATGTTACCTCAATAGGGGGAAAAAAAAGGTTACAAAAGAGTCAATTTAGCAAGGTGACTTCACAGGACTAAATAGGGGTTCCCCAACACCAGAGCTTCAAAAGACATACAAGACAAGACTCTTCCAGAACCGTCATTACTGGTTGATAAGTATAAACTTCTCTTTCAAGAATATGTGTGATCACTGCCAGAGAGAGTAACTGAATAATCCTAAATCCCTTCTCTATCAGCACCTATCAAGTCCTAAAATCCAATTAGGTCCTACCAAAGCTAGGCACCAAAACATTCTCTGCCCAAAAGTATTTCTTCACTTTTATAGACAAAAACTCATCATGCAGTCAAAGGCAGACAGAGCTCTGCAACAACCCAGGGGAACATGCAGGGCAAACGCATTTGCAGGTGAGCCAAATGGTGCAATCTTTGGAATGAGTCATGGAATATGAGTTCTTTATAGCAATTAAAAGTCTCTGGGATTTTCACAAGAGTGGGAGCATTACAAACCAGTATCCTGGATCAACATCAACTGAAGTGTGGTAATTATGTTCCATCCAGAGGTCCAACTGAACACAATATTCGTTCTGTGTTCCCAGATCACACGGTAACAACTCAAATGGCAGAACAATGAGTCTGCTTTGTGTTCAAGCTTCAGAGTTGTTCAGACTCTAAGCTCCCAGTGCTTGCAAAGCTTTGGGAGTCTCACATTAAAGTCCCCTGGAGTTAAAGTATACTGTGGCAAATTTTTAAAATATCTACTGGGAGTTCCACTACTGAGAAATTTAAATGGAAAATTAAGTCAATATAGAGCTTATCCTTCTCTTGGGCTCATGTTTAAGACCACAAAAGGTTAGCGTTACAAAACTATGAATCCTCTTATTATTCTTTCTTTTTTTTAATATTATTCTTTCTTAACTCTTCTTTTTTTTTTCATATAAGTAGTAGTTATGTAAATATATAGTCATGTGTCAGACTAAAAGTAAAAATTCCATTAGTGGAGATAGAAAATATCAGTTTTAATAAAAGCATGAATCTTAATGTCAAAAATCTCATTTTAAAGCCTGTGTCTTTTTCCATTAAAGTAAAACTAGAGATTATAGGATAACCAACAATTAAAAAATAAACATTTAAGCTAAGTTGCATGTCTTTTTATTTTAAGCCAAATTAATCAAACAGGAAACACAGGAAGTCACTCAAATAAAGCAGAGGATAAATTTAGCCAGGCAAATAAAAATATCTCATATAACCCTACCTGTTTCTTGAAGATGTCTCCTAAAAATACTTGGCAAAACAGGAACTCAGTAGAATACTACTGTTCAAGTGTCAGAAATAAATAGCAAGGTGACCAAAATGTTAAATATTCTTATTGCATGAACAAAAGACTGTTTTGTTTTGTACTGTTTAGGTGCTCCTACCCATGCTCACAATGCATCACAAACCTGTTTGATCAGGATAAATGCCTTTCAGATCACTCTTTTCAGATCACATTTTCAATTCTGAAAATGCAAAATTGGTCTGGAATGTGAAAGGGAGAATTTGTTTTCATCCCATCTTTCCTGAAAGGAATCCAGTCTGAAATATTTACATCAGTAAGACATTTTGCTTGAGACTAAGGTAACTAAACAAAA